CTCCATCCATCCCTGGGGAATCCTCCATCCATGGGGAATCCTCCATCCATGGGGAATCCTCCATCCGTCCCTGGGCTTCCTCCATCCGTCCTTGGGAATCCTCCATCCATCCCTGGGAATCCTCCATCCATCCCTGGGGCTCTTCCTTCCCCTCAGGATGGGCAGGACCAGCTCCCAGGCCCTCCCCAGGTGGGTATCTCTGTGTGGTGATGGTGGTGGTGCTGCTACAACCCCAAAATCACCACCTGATCCTTGCCTACAACACGGGGTGTCATTCATGAGTTATACATAAATGGCAGCTTTACATATTTAAAAGGAACATGGACTGCTTTGTATCTGAAGTATGGTTCCCAGGGGAGAACACCACCATTTGATCTATTTTTGATTAAAATGTAAAAATTAAAAATTAAATCAAATGGTAGTCGAATTCCTCGGGGAAAACACACTTCAGTTATGAAGTATTCCCCGTAGTAACCTTGAGAATCTTACAGCTGTATTGTCTCATCTGTAGGTGGTCTTTTTATGTCTCACATAATTAAAATGAATTGCTGGTAGAGAACCCCTACCACTGCATACAGATTTATGAACCTGGAGGCACCTCCACTCCCAGACAAACAGGGACAGCCACGGCTCCCTCTGCAGCTGTGCCTGGCCAGGCAGCCTCTGGAATCTGGGATTTGCTGGGAATCTGGGCTGCAGTGGGGAGTGATCCCTCCAGAGGGTGAGCAGGGAGCGTGCTGCAGAGCCAGGGAAGAGCAGGAATGGGGAAAAGGATGGACAGGATCCCTGGGGCTGGAAAATCCCTCCCATCCAGGCAGTGCCAGCCCTGCCCCATCCCCACCGTGTCCCCAGCCCAGAGCCCTGAGTGCCACCTCCAGCAATTCCTGGGACACCTCCAGGGATGGGCACTGCAACCCTCCCTGGGCACTGCCAAGGCCTGAGCTCCCTTTCCATGGGGAAATTCCTGCTGCTGTCCCCCCTGAGCTGCCCTGGCCCAGCCTGAGCCCGTTCCCTCTCCTCCTGTCCCTGTTCCTGCGAGCAGATCCCAAATCCCCCCGGCTGTCCCCTCCTGCCAGGGACTTGTGCAGAGCCAGAAATTCCCCCTGAGCCTCCTTTGCTCCAGCCTGAGCCCCTTCCCAGCTCCCTCAGGAATTCTCCAGCCCCTTCCCAGCTCCTCAGGAATTCTCCAGCCCCTTCCCAGCTCCCTCAGGAATTCTCCAGCCCCTTCCCAGCTCCCTCAGGAATTCTCCAGCCCCTTCCCAGCTCCCTCAGGAATTCTCCAGCCCTTTCCCAGCCCCATTCCCTGCCCTGGCCAGGCTCCAGCCCCTCCAGGGCTCTCCTGGGGTGAGGACCCAGAGCTGGAGTGAGCCCTCGAGGTCCCTGTGGTGGCACAGGGGGACAATCCCTGCCCTGCTCCTGCTGCCACAGGACTCAGCGTTTCAAGTATCCAAGGAACCCTTGCTGTACTAAGCAATGGCTAAATGTCACCAGAACATGATTGTGAAATTGGATTTCCTAGGAAAATGTGCTCTACACAATCTAATGCAACTTATTTCTAGCAAGCTGCTTTATCAGGCTGCCTTGGAATACGGGAATGTGTATTTGATAAGATTAGAGAATCGTGGGGATCAGGAAAAATAAGACTCCAGACTTTGCATTCCCATTTTCACCCAGCTGAAGGACAAACATGTCATTTATTTTGTGTTTGGTTGTGATTCTCGTGGTCCTGTTAAAGTACCCACAGCAGTGGCTTGTGACTGTGCATCCTGCTCAAGCTGTGACTAAAACTTCCCTAACAACATTTCCGTAAAAAAGAAGGGGATGGAAGCGAAAAGCTGGGATTTATAGGGAAAAGAAAACAATTCTAACAATAAAAGTATCAACTCTAAGAGTTCCACAGTGCCTTGCAGAAACATTTTGTAATAAGCAGCAGGAGCGTTCAAATTTCAGTGTAATACTTGAAAGAAAATGTCTCTGATCTTTGAGTTTCTTCGGAGAGGGGAGTTTTTAATGTATAATCAGACTAAAATCCTCCTGTAATTGCACAGTGAGAGGCCTGTGAGGTTTCAGGAGGGCTGCAGATGGAGCATGGGCCTACACGAGCACCAAGGTTTTTCCTCGTCTGTGGAGCCAGCGCTGTGGAATCGGCCTGAGGCTTCCCCATGTGCAGATTCCATGGAATTCCAAATGTGGAATCCCTCTCCACCAGCTGTGCTGTCACCTCGTGCTGGCCACTGATGGCTCTGAGCGGGCACCGAGGTCACTGATGAATGAAATTCTATCCGGACTCGGACACCTCGTTCCTTCCCCTTTCTCCTTGTTCCACGTCCAGCCATGCTCAAACTCCATCCAGCTCCTTGGGAAGCTTTTCCCCCTCAAACCATTAACAGTTACCTCTTCATTACCTGGAATCCCAAATTGGTTTGGGTTGGAGGGACCCCAAATCCCCCCCACCCCACCCCAGCCATGGCAGGGACACCTTCCCCTGTCCCAGCTGCTCCAGCCCCAATGTCCAGCCTGGCCTTGGGCACTGCCAGGGATCCAGGGGCAGCCCAGTTCGTGTCTGAAAGCTCCTCCTTGGTGTGAGGGCTGGGAAATTGCTGCAATTCCCCAGAAATGGACAAAGGGTTAGGATTAAGGGTTTAAAAAAAGGGTTTAAATGAAGGTCTGCTGGGCGAGGGGCTTGCTTGAAAGGAGCAGAACAAGGAGTTCATACAGTGGCAATCGTTCAGGGCACTGCCACAAATACAGGACCAGAGTGGAAAGGAATCGATATTTCCATGGGTTTATGCTGAAAATAGAAAATGTCTGGTTTTACCATCACTGCATCTTCAGTAATTCAGGTGTAGCAAAGTCTGAGCCTGAAGGCAAAGCCAGAGAGCAGAAGTTCTGTGGAATTTGTGGCCTTCAGCTGAAGGAGGGGAGATTTAGATGGGATTCTGGGCAGGAATTGTTCCCTGGCAGGGTGAGGAGGGGCTGGGATGGAATTCCCAGAGCAGCTGGGGCTGCCCCTGGATCCCTGGCAGTGCCCAAGGCCAGGCTGGACATTGGGGCTGGAGCAGCTGGGACAGGGGAAGGTGTCCCCGCCATGGCAGGGAACAAGTTGAGCTTTAAGGTCCCTTCCAGCCCAAACCAGGCTGGAATTGTTTGAATTTCAGATTAACTGGGCCCAAGGAAAGGCTCCGTGTGGAGCTCCCGTCACGATGTGATCAGGACTGACTCAAACACAAACTTGGTTTCCTCCTAGAATAACAGTGGCAGGTAAAGGGAGCTCCGTGGCTTTTCAGGTTTTGAAGAGCAAATGATTCAACAGCAGGATGAATAAATAATGAAGGAAAGTGAGATTATAA